AATAGGATAATTGAAGAAACACTCAATATACATATAAAATATATTAAAAAGATACATAATTTTGTAAAATTAATTAAAAGTATAGTTACATTTTGTAAAATATTTTAAAATAATATTAAATATGAATAAAATTTATGTTTTAATTTTTTTCATAAAACAAATAGGATCACTGAAAATATAATAAAAAACTATATATATATATATATAAAAAATAGTTAAATTCATTAAATAGTTATTTTGCAAAATAGTTTTAAAATAATATTAAACAAAAAATATATACTAATTTTATATATATATAGAAAATATAATAAACTAAATATATAACGAAGAATTTAACAATTAATTAAAAAGTATAGTTACATTTTGTAATTTTTTTTAAATAAAACAAAAATAAATAAACTAATTTTTGCATAATACATAGATAAAATATTGGAAAATATATAAATAAATAAACATATAAATTATATAAAAGAAAAGAATCAAATGCATAAGGAACAATGTACAGTTAGCTTATCATTATGGCCAAATAGACCATACATAATCTCACTAGTTAGTTTAGTTTGGCTATAATAACTAGTGAGTTAGTACAGCCAAACAAACAATAAATAAATAAATATTGATTTTATTGTGCAAGAAGAGCATTGTGCAACAAATATCATTATACAAAAATAAAAGAGCAAGTATTAGAATTCGCTTGCACAGGATTGCCTTTAAACTGAAATCAAGTATGGCAGCTTTATATGCATGAGTGAATTTATGCAATTGCAGGTCAGTAATGAGATCAGACGAAACAATGAACCAGCGCTAAAGATTCATCAGCTTTACTTCAGCATGCCTGTATGCACCACATCAACATGTCATGCTCAAGAAACCGAAGTCCGTCCTTAAAGTGGATCAGGCACGAGGGCAAAGAAAAAAATAGCAACACACCCGCATGACAAAAACCTCCTTGCATCTTAAAACTGAGCTTTAAAGTGCAGCTGGATAACAGAGACAAGTTGAGTCGCTGACATCGAGGGCTTATCTCTGATCCAGCTGAAAAATTAATGCGCATGCCTCCGTTTACTTGAGAATAGTTAAAGGGGCTGTCAGGGTTGAGTTCACCAAGCTAAATTTTTAGGAGAGGGGTTTCTCTCACAAACACATAAACTGTCCCCGAACTTATCACTAGCATGATCTTCAAATAGAAAATATAGCTAATAAACATAGCTGCATGCAGCAATTAAGGAGCCAAGAGGACAACAGAAGCTAAATGAGGAGCTAAGCATGTCAGGGAGCATCAGACCAACCGCAAACATTAGTAATCAAAAACATTTATAGATGATTTTAAGCAAAATGGTTGAAAACCCCATAAATACATTCACCTGTAACTGGACAGAACTGATTATCACAAATTGATCTGGTGGGGTCACTGGGTGACAATGATACACATAAGGTTTGGTGTCAATATGCCAAAGCTTTGCAGAAATACAGCCTCAGATCCAGTTTGCCATCATGGCCAAACTGAGTTATACGAGATTGGTTTGATCTATCAAAAAGCTTTTAATAACTTTTTGCCAGCATGGTCTGATAATGATCTCAATTTTGATGAAAATTGTGTTTTATTTCCGTGTTTGAGAATTTTGAGAGTGTTTGAGCCCTTAACGTTTCAAAAGTTATTAGCATAAATGTGAGTGCAACTTTGAGCTGTTGGTGGCGCTAGAGAGTTTGAGTTAGAGACTCCAAACTTGCTGTGGTTAATATTCAGACTGTCCTCTATCTGTGTGCCAAATTTCATAACTTTCCAGAGAGCAGTTTCACGGGCTTTCATAGACTCACTAGCGGAAACTGAAGAAGAAGAAAATACAGCCTCAGATCCAGTTTGGCATCATGCCATCAAGTTTGATGATGAGTTATACCAGAATGATTTGATCTATCAAAAAGATCTTTTAATAACTTCTTGCCAGCATTGTCTAAAGATGATCTGAGCCAGTGAACAGACTTTAGCTGTTGCGGCGCAGCGCGACAACCGTCGCGTCCGGTGTAGACATGGTCTTACACTCACCTATCGAGAAGAAACAAAGCAACCTCGGCGTCCAATCTTAGGCCTTCCGCTCCTTGAGTTTTCTCCAGCACTGGAAAGCTGATCCGATATTTACACGGGTCCTACGTCTTGCCTTATCGTAAGCCTTCTTTTGCTCCACAGACGGTTTCCTCTTTTGTTTTTTATCCGCCATCTCTATCTTTCTGTCGCTTGGCTCGCTAATGTCCGTCCTGTGCACTGAGCACTCTCCTCCGCATCATAATTTAATTAATAATTTAATAATTCATTAATTATAATTTATGCATTTAGCGGATGCTTTTATCCAAAGCGACGTACAGTGCATTCAGACTATACATTTTTTACCAGTATGTGTGTTCCCTGGGAATTGAACCCACAACCTTTTGCGCTGCTAACGCAATGCTCTTCCACTGAGCCACAGGAACTGAGCATCATGAGTAGACACGCCCCTTACTGCTGATTGGCTACAAGTTTGTTTTGGTATTCGGCCCGACTGAAAAAATGCATACCCCACCTTTAATGTTCAGACTGTCCTCTATCTGTGTGCCAAATTTCATAGCTTTCCCATAAGCAGTTCTATTTGTTTTCATAGACTCAAATGCGGAAGCAGAAGAAGAAGAAGGTTTGAGTTAGAGACCTGTGGTTAATGTTCAGGCTGTCCTTTATCTGTGTGCCAAATTTCATAACTTTCCCACAAGAGGAGGAGGAGGAAGAAGAAGAATAGATGCTCTGACCTGTGTTTCTGAGATGGCCACTGTGTTTTTAAACACAATCCACTCCACGTTTTCGGAGCAGGGCGGTGCGGTGAGAGAGCCATTGTACATGAAGTATTTTTCGGTGGACTGCGGAAGCAGAGCCAGCAGAGAAAACACTTCCAGAGGGTTGCTTTTACCTTAAATATTAGCATGTTTGTGTGTTATTGCAATTTGAAATAATGAAAAGCTTTGTGTATGTAATCTTAAAAAAAACAATTTTTTTTTTTAAAGATTTACCAAATCGGCTCACGCTGTTCACCCCTTCAATGATGGCCGCATAGTCCTGGTTGTCTTCAATACTGGCCTAAGTAACAGACCAAACTTGGGTCATTATGATAAAAGGGCTGCAGGTATGAGTTAATATACAGATGTGTTGGGAAAATGTCACCTCGAAAAGAACAGCTACAGCAGTAATCTTTCCACTGCTACTTATCGCCTCGTCTATGGATTCAAACTCCTCGTCATCAAAACAATAGATCTGCATCTGTGAAAGAGAGAAACACAAATTCCAGCTATTTCATTTTAGCTTGAATTTGGCTTAAAGTCACCATGAAATCACACTTGACCTAATTTACCATATTAATAAAAAAGTGGGGTTTTTTTGTATTTTATATCTTATTTATATTTTGTATTTTATATATTGTATTTTCTGTATTATATATGGAAGGTATTTATTTATTTATTTAGGCTATTTTTATATTAAACACTTGGAATGGAAGTTGTTTAATTTCTTTTTCATGATATGTTCATGATATATTTAATTATATATCACAGTATATAATATAATATAATATAATAATATTTTTTTTGCCTGAAAATTCAATTTACTCTTTTTTTTTTTTTTTTTTTTAATTAGTCAGTCAATATTAAATACTTGAAATGGAAGGTATTTAATTCATTTTAATAATCTTCAGATTTTTATTTGGAATTTGATGGACACAAACCAAAAACAGTGGTAATAGAGGTTAAAAACCATAATTCCAAGATTAAATTCTATTAAATACTTCCCACAATATTTTCTACTGAATACTGTTACACTTATGAATAAAGTCTCATTATTATGGATGTCAAACACTGTACATTGTGAATGCATTGCCATCTCAGCATGGTTTATGTTGATTTAGACGTGTGGTGAACTTTACCTCCAGGGGGAAACTGTTTCCGTTGAGACTGTGTTCAGATCCGTCTGAAGTGGCGTTACATCGGCCCCAATGGAACGTGATTCTGCCCACTTTAAACCTGGATCTGAGCCCACCTCCGCTTATGAAGTACTGACCGTTCAGACTGATTTCCACTGAGAAACACGATACACACACACACAAACTCACTGACCACTTGATGCGTAATTGTGTTCTTCATTCAGCACGCCTAATTGCTCATATTTGATATTTCAGCTTTCATCTCCGATAATAGATACATTTTAAGCTTTGCCTTTTATGCTGAAATAATCTTCTCACAGAGTCAAATCAGAACAAAAGATTCAGCGCCAGCTTTTCTTCTGCACTCCTGTAAAAGCACAGACAGTCTAAAAGACGACCAGCTGCCATTTCAGGAATGAAAAAAGAAAAAAAACTGTAGATTTTATTCTTCAGCAGCTCCATTAGTCTGCCAGTGATTAATCTCAGGTTGTAATTGCATTCATTGCAGGCCATCGCTCTGGGGAGTTAATATGTCAGTGTAATTTCACTGAGTGCTGGTTAAAAGTGAATTCAAATGCCAGACATGTTTTGTCTGCAATTCTTCACATATGGAAACACTGCAGACCTGTTTTGCCGTCGTTGGTGATGGTGGTGGATTCGGTGGTTGGTTGGTCCCAGTTCTCCAGCTGCAGGTTCTGGTACTGAACCCTGACCTGTGTGAACTCCTCACTGATGTCAATGGGAGACTGTCTGGCATTGCCACACACCGGATATTTCTTTGCCCAATGCTTCTGGTTCAGGCCTCCTGTGAAGAATAAGTGTGTGATAAAAGAAGTAAGGAATCATCTTAATAATAGCAGACACTTTTATCCAAAGCTACTTACAAAAGAGGAACAAAAGCAATTAGTCCAACATAAATCTTGCAGCAGATCAGGTAAAGATTTGTTGTCTTAATTAATTTACCTGAATTTATACTGATTTTTAGGTAAATTTATGTAATTATTTATTGTAATAATTATTTATGTTTTGTATGAGGCAAAAACTGCTATAACTGGTCACAATTTCTGTCTTTGAACCTTTTTATTGACCTTTTAGTTTATTTATTCATTTAAATAGTCCTGCAATGTGACTATATTCATTCATTTTAATAATTAAAAATAAATAAATATTAATTTATAAAAGCAGAGATATTGCATATAGTCTTTCAGTTAATAGGAGATCAAAACTGCATGTAGAATAATTATACAAGAACTACAAAAATGCTATAAATATATAAGAGCAGCTATTCACAAAAACATCTTTAATAAAAAATATGTTTTAAATATTATTAAATAATATTAATAATATTTTAAAATATTTATGTTAGATGTTTATATTATTTTAAACATGCATTACATATTTGTAAATAATATAAAATAATCATATATAAATAATATACAAAGAGTAGCTATTCACCAAAAAAAAAAAAACATGCCTTGTCTGATTGTGAACACTTAAAAAATAGAAAATAACAAAAAATGAATAACAAAAAAAAATAGAATAATTATACAATAACTATAAAAATGCTATAAAAAGTAGTTTTATGAATGCAAAAAAGAGCAGCTATCCACAAAAAACTACATTTTATAATAAAAATAACTTTTAAATATTATTAAACTGTAATAAATAATATTGTGAATAATATTTTTAAATATGTATTTTAAATGTTTATATTATTTTAAACATGTATTAAATAATAAATTAAATAAAGTGTCCCCGAGGATGTGTCTTTAAGACACTAGATCTGAATTAGCAGCTCTAATGTTCCCTGGAAGAACGATTAGCGTGTATATTTTCACAATGATTTCACTTTCAGCTCCTGGGTGGCAATTCTTCACCCTCTTAAGCTACAACATAATTAATACGTCCCTAACAGGCTATAAAGGATCACGTCCGCCATGTGAGGACAGCAGAACTGCATCCTCGAGGTACTTAATATCAACAAACGTCTGCCGTTAGCCTGATTGATGGATACACATTCAACAGGAAAGCAGCGTTTTGAACTATGAGTCAGGATACAGCAGTGAGCATCTGGATCTAGCAGGCACTATGGCAAGCCGTTTTAACATTTAATACTTATAATGTACTAGCATCTATTTTCATGCTACGAGTACTTATTTTTAGCTACTGGTGCTTATTCATTAACTGCTTATTCTTTAGCTACTAGCACTTTTTCATTAGCCACTAGTGCTTATTTTAGCTGCTTGCATTTATTAATTAGCTACTAGCACGTATTCTTCAGCTACTACCACTTATTAATTAGCTACCAGTAATTATTCATTAGCGACTAGTGCTTATTCATTAGCTACTAGTGTTTATTCTTTAGCTAACACATATTAGCCACTAGCGCTTATTCACCATGGTTTTATTATAGTAAAAGTGTAGTAACCATGTTTTTTTGGCGGGCTGATTACCATTTGTATAACGACAGTTTTACTACAAACACCATGGTTAAACTATGGTTAGTGTAGCAAAACCAAGGTTAATTTGTGGTTATCCTGGTTTAACTGCAATAGCCATGTTTTGTTTTATTTTTCATTTGTAGTAAAACCATTGTTAATTTTCTTAAGGGATTAGCTAGTAGTGCTCATTCTTTAGCTACTAGCACTTATTCATTAGCTACTACTTTGGTACTAGTAACTTTTTAAAAGACTTATTAGATAGGAGTACCTATTCAGTAGATACTAGTACTTAGAGCTGGACAATAATTCAATATCAACATGTATCGCGATATATATTTTTTCAGTCAGTATAGTAGTTTTTGAGTCAGTATCATTTCTTTTTTTTTTTTGGAAAGAAATTACAGAAATTAATACTTTTATTTAGCAAGGATGCTTTAAATTGATCAAAAGTGATGATAAAGACATTTGTAATGTTACAAAAGATTTCGATTTCAGATAAATGCTGTTCTTCTGAACTTTCCATTCATCAAAAAAAACCTGAAAACAATTCTACTCAGCTGTTTTCAACATAATAATAACTGTTTTTTGAGCAGCAAATCAGAATATTAGAATGATTTCTGAAGGATCATGTGACCGGAGTAATGATGCAAAAATATAGCTTTGAAATCACAGGAATAAATTACATTTTCAAATAAATAACCGTTATTTTAAATAGTAAAAATATTTCAAAATGTACTGTTTTTGCTGTATTTTGGATCAAATAAATGCAGGCTTGGTGAGCAAAAGCATAAAAAAAAAATAAAAAAAAACATCTGTTGTGGGCATTCTTGGCAGTCTTTACGAGGCTTAATAGTGTTCATATCAATATCGGAATTATATTGTATCGACTGAAATTAAGAAATATATCGTGATATAAATTTTGGCCATATCGTCCAGCCCTACTAGTACTTATTTATAAGACACTTCTTTATTACAATGACGATAGATACTAGTAAATTTTTGAGGATTAAAATGGCTTGCCACACACACACACACACGGATATGCTGTAATCAAAGAGAAGCGCTGCTGCTATGGTAACCGTTAGTCTGCGGATGTGGCATAATCACAGAGCATGAAGTAATTTCAAGAATTTTGAGATCTCTGGGCCGCTCTGACATTTTGAATATTTAAAATTTTCTAACAGCACGTGAGGTCAGATCACTCACGATCGAAAGCTGCAATAACAGGTAGGGTGCACTTTGGCCTTTGAAGCAACCCGCCAAATTATGACGCATGTGAACGAACGTGAGAACAATCACAGACGGGAACGGTTAACGCGGATTCCTACCTCTCCATAATGACACCTTGATCTACACCAACATTCAGTCTGATTACACCAGCCAATTATCCTCAACAATTTTCTCTCAATTACCACGAAAGGAGGTCAGCAAAGGGGAGAAGTACAGCGAACAACCTGTGTGAATGTCTGTGGACTGGACTCACTACAAACTCATAAAGGAGCATCTATCCACAAAAACACACCTTCTCTCTGATGGTGAACAACTGGCCACAATATAATTTTTTTAATTAATAGTATAATATTTAAATAGTTTAACAATTAAATGTGGCTAATTATTTAAGTTTAAAATGTAATTAACTTTTTGTTTTTTAATTATTATATTATTTGTATTATTATATTGAATATAATTGTATACAAATATATGTAATATTAATATGATAAATGTTGCGAATTCTTTTTTAACCTTTTATATATTAAATTATATATACTATTTATATTTAATTTTTACAAAGTTAAAACACACACGTTAAAACAATTATAAAAAATTACAATCTAAACAAATAATTAGCGTCCTTTATTTATTGAAATAAATATATTTATATTAAATATATTCCTTTAAAACTATATTTTAAATAATATAAATAATTGTATAAGATATATTATAGAAGATACATATTAATATATATTAGGATAATACTCATAGTTAAATATTTAATATTTCAACAAATAAATGTTGCAAATTATGTTTAAGTTTAAAGTGTCCTTTATTTCTACATAATATATAATCACCTTTTTTCCTATATATGAAACAAATGCATTATATCCTGTGAGGATGACCAGTGCGAGTAACTTGTAGAGTCGTTTCCATGACAACTAAGCTCGTGTATATACCATTGAGAAATGTCTCTTATGTGATCGATGAATAATTTACACATCAACACATTTACCCATTTACTCTATGAAAAACATATGCATTTGTACATCACATTCTCCATGTCTCCAATGAATAAGAGATCATGAGCAATAAAGCAGAGGTGCTGCTGATGATGGAGGCGGGAGTCTCAAAGTGCTCCATCCGCAGGTTATCGGAGCATGCAGATGATTAAAGGAAAGAGCTGCAGCCCCCGCAGCAGATGGAGACGGGAGCCGTGCCAGCGGCAGGAATCACACACACCCCTGGGGTTTGGAAAACAGCCTCGGCAGGGGACTGACATGCTACAATAACCCATGATCATAAGCAGATTCACAAAAGAGTCAGGAGGAAACTGGCCAGAGACAAATGGACGCAAATGCATTTGCTATTTAAAGCTGCAGTCCGTAACTTTTTTTGGTTAAAAGTTATCCAAAATTAATATTTGAGCAAGTACATAACCAGCCAGTGTTCAAAACTATCACCTTACTTTAGCCCAATTCACAACGGTTAGTTTATAATAATGTTTTCTAATTTGAGTGGTACGGGTAGGTTTTCGCGGGAAATTCAAGCATGCTGCTGCGTAATTACGTCACGTCTGTAAACATAAAGAAGTTGTCCCGGCTACTAGGCTATCGCATGTGAGGATGCTGCAGGTGGCAGATCGTTAGCCTTTTCTCACAGCAGCTGGAATAATTAAATGTCAAAAAATCATTTTGATGGCGGATTGTAATCCAGAAAGGATTATATGAAACGCATGTGAATGAAATTAAATTATATTCCAGTTTTAAATGTGCTTCTGATTACAGATAGATTGGGATTACACAAGATTTGCATTTTAAAGACAACCAGTTCGAAGGGAGCATAGTTTGCTTTTTGGGTTAAAAGAATTTCTTGGTATGAAATTCCAATGGTATGACAATTAGATTAGACTGTACAGAAATTGAAATCTACACACACACTATAGGCTACTCATAGTCACGCAATGCTGATGTTGTTAACATTAATAATCTGAGAATAAAGTATAACAATAATAATAATTTGCACGGTTTGATGTGATATGAGCTAATCGATCGTTAGATTAAATCACCATTGCTTTACAGCTTTAAACAACGTGGCGCAGGAAAAATGAAAACTGCATCAGGCTGAAACTAGCAAAAAACACTTGCGTCACGCCTTGCGCCAGGTGTATGATAGAGCCCACTGACTGTACATTAAATATTCAGCTTTTCTACTGAAAACTGAAACTATATAAAAAGTAAATTTAAAAACTTGGTCTAATAGACATGGATTAAAAGCCACAAAACTGTTCAATCACATTCTGTTTTTCCACCATTGTCAAAGCGTCCTCCGGCCTGATTTAAAAGCCCTCCAACAATCCTGAATGTCACTTACTCTTTTGAAAGACTCGAGTGTCTTAAAGTGTCTCAGACTTTCAGCTAATCTCCAGCACCGGCGGGTCAGTGGTCGACTCCCTGCCGTCGTTTCTAATGGAGAACGGACATTGATCCGTCATTATTCACTTCCATCTCCTGCTACCTTATCCCTGTATCTCGCTCACAGAAGAAAAGCTTTGTAAGGCGTTTGGGTTGAAGCCAGTGCTTTGCCACACTGGAGTCTGGTGAAAAGCACACAATAAGGGCGTTTGTTCACGGTGAACCCACCTGTGTAAGACCAGTCAACGTCCTCGACGAATTTGCGCTGACCTCTCAGGTACGACACAGCCAGATCTGGAACAAGAAAGATGAGGAGTGCTGGAGTCAATGCAATGTTAATTTAGAGCCAAACAAACACAAAGCAGAAAGTTCAGAGAAACCCCCAAATAAAACAGTCTTTAGTGTTTGTATTCCTTATTTGAGAAATCATTATACAAGTGCACAGCATACACTAATTATTTGTATATTGTTGGGTTTTGCCCATGCAAAAGTTGCCACCATGAAGCCAAGGTGCTGCTATGTGGTTGCTAGGGTGTTCTGTGTTATATAGTGCATTACGATGTGGTTGCTAAAATGTTTCTATGTACTGTAGTTGATAGGTCATTGCTATGTGGTTGTAAGGTGTTCTAAGTGGTATATTTAGTGCTTTGTTATGTGGCTGCTAGGGCATTGCTATGTGGTTGGTAAGGTGTTTGAAAAAATATACACTGCATTGCTATGTGGTTGCTAAGGCATTGCTATGTGTTTGGTAAGATGTTCTAAGTGGTATATATGGTGCATTGCTATGTTTTTACTAGGGGACATTGCTATGTGGTTGCTAGGGCTTTGCTATGTGCTTGCTAAGGTGTTCTAATTGCAATATAGTGCATTATTATGTGGTTGCTAGGGTGTTGCTATGTTTTTGGTAAGTTGTTGTAAGTGAAGTGCATTATTATGTCGTTGCTAGGGTGTTGCTATGCGGTTGCTAAAGTGTTCTAAGCGGCATATAGTGCATTGCTATGCTGTTGCTAGGGCATTGCTATGTGGTTGCTAAGGTGTTTGAAGTGGCATATAGTGCATTGCAATGTGGTTTTTAGGACATTGCTATGTGGTTGTTAAGGTGTTTGAAGTGGCATATAGTGCATTGCTATGCTGTTGCTATAGGGCATTGCTATGTGGTTGCTAAGGTGTAATATATAGTGCATTGCAATGTGGTTGCTAGGACATTGCTATGTGGTTGTTAAGGTGTTTGAAGTTGCATTTAGTGCATTGCTATGTGGTTGCTAAGGTGTAATATATAGTGCATTGCAATGTAGTTGCTTGGTCGTTGCTATGTGGTTGATGAGGAGTTCTAAGTGGTATATACAGTGAGCATTGCTATATGTTGCTAGGGCATTGCTATGTGGTATATAGTGCATTGCTGTGCGGTTGCTAGGATGTTACAGCAAGTTATACTTTCAGACTGATGTCATCAGACTAAAGCGGTCTTTCCTATTTGACTCACTCTCGAGTGACTGAGGTATAAATATCTGTAAATTAAAGTGTGAAGAGGGAAAGGTCATTATTATCACTGTAGGACAGACTGACTGGGCGTTTTCCAGCACATTACTGTCTGCTGTTTGTGTATGTGTGTGTGTGTGTGTGTGTGTGTGTGTGTGTGTAGACTAAAGCGGTCTTTCCTATTTGACTCACTCTCGAGTGACTGAGGTATAAATATCTGTAAATTAAAGTGTGAAGAGGGAAAGGTCATTATTATCACTGTAGGACAGACTGACTGGGCGTTTTCCAGCACATTACTGTCTGCTGTTTGTGTATGTGTGTGTGTGTGTGTGTGTGTGTGTGTGTGTGTGTGTGTGTGTGAGGACACCTGCCAGACACATCAAAACACACATGTGTCACTGCTGTAGAAGGGAAAGTCGAGATGAAAGGACACATGAGCTCAAACACACACAGTTGTGTCCAGATTATAGCCATAACCTCTTAAAAACAACAACCCCAAATGTTTTGACGGGACTTAAAGGAATAGTTTACTCAAAATTGAAAAAAAAAGGTACTACATATACCAGACTGTAACCAACTAAACTAGACAAAGTCCAAGAGTCAGTGTGGGGATCAGATGTAAAATACCCTTCCAAGGGATTTGGAGAAGATGAAAACTGATGATGCGTGTAAAAGTCAGCTAAAGAGCATTTTAGCATTTTAACAGTCTGACCCTCTGACCTGACAGCACTAACTAAACCCTGTATTTAATACGGCCGTCCCGTTCCTGCCTCTCAGAGTACAAGTGAATGGTGACCGAAAGCCGCTGCCACAATAGAGCCTTTGAAGACTTTTGCCACAGAACATGCCATTATTACAAGGACTAGTCAGACACAACACAAGTTGTTCTGGAAGAGTTTTCATAAGCATAAGCACCTCTGCGGTCCATATAAAAGTTATTCCCAAGAAACGGTTTTTTTAACATATTATATCCATCTATTTTCCAAACCACTTATCCTCACAACATTATATATTTAAAAAAAATTATAATAATGATTTTAGAATATAAAATAAACAACATTTGTTATAATATTTATTATTCATTTTAAATATTAAAAAAAAGAAAAATAACATACACTATTATATATTTAAATAAAATAATAATGATTTCTTAATATAAAATAAGCAATGTTTATTATCATTTTTACAAGTTTTAAATATATTTTATATACAATATTATATATTATAAAAATAAAAATAATATATAATTAATTATTTAAAGAATTTTATTATATTTTTATTTTATTATATATTTTATTATAATATGAAATTATATATTTTATTATATATTTGATATTTACAAATACCATAATATTTTATATTTAAAAAAATTTTAAAGTTAAAAATGTTTTATTATAATATAAAAATAATGTCATATTTATTTATTATGTACAATATTATATATTCAAAATGTTACAAATTATTTTATTATAATATAAAAAGTAGTAATATTGTTCTATTTATTTATTATAATTTTAAAAATAAAATGGTTTTATGATGTACAAATAAATAATGTTATAACTTTTTCATTATATATTCAAAATTATGTATTTTTAAAGATTGAAATTAAAAAATACTTTATTATAATATAAAAATAAATAATATTATTTATTTGTTTGTTTTGTGCTATTGAAAATTGCTACAGGTTTGAATGTTTCAGGGTAGAAGACCAATGCAAAAATGAGCTACATTATTTACATCCACTATTCTTGTGGTAAAACATGTTAAAACACCCATTTGTTTAGGACATTTCCTTTTTAAAAATAGGCTTTGTGTTGACGGTTGTGTGGAGTAAATCCCAGTTGGCCGGGCGATGAAACTGCAAGTGGAAAAAGCTCTTTTGCTCAGCTCGTCAAACAGAATCCTGGGCCGTTTCACAGGAACAGTATCATACAGCGACCTGCGCCCCTCTAAAGCTGCTGAGCTTCTTTGGCTCGGCTCCATTTCACAGGCACTGAGAGAAAAGCCTGCGGCAAATTAGATTAAAATTGCTCACAGTTTGATGTTAATGAGTCTATCACCAATAAAATAAGCCCTTTACTGGACCCCACTTCCATTTCACATCCTGCATTCTCACTGCTCTCTCCAAAAAAATAACTAAATAAACACAACTGCGATTTTCTTCCATTTTCCAGCTAAACAAAACTATTAGACATTTCAAAACAAGCAAGTCTATGTTCACGTCTCTGTGTGTGTGTGTGTGTGTGTGTGAGGACACCTGCCAGACACATCAAAACACACATGTGTCACTGCTGTAGAAGGGAAAGTCGAGATGAAAGGACACATGAGCTCAAACACACACAGTTGTGTCCAGATTATAGCCATAACCTCTTAAAAACAACAACCCCAAATGTTTTGACGGGACTTAAAGGAATAGTTTACTCAAAATTGAAAAAAAAAGGTACTACATATACCAGACTGTAACCAACTAAACTAGACAAAGTCCAAGAGTCAGTGTGGGGATCAGATGTAAAATACCCTTCCAAGGGATTTGGAGAAGATGAAAACTGATGATGCGTGTAAAAGTCAGCTAAAGAGCATTTTAGCATTTTAACAGTCTGACCCTCTGACCTGACAGCACTAACTAAACCCTGTATTTAATACGGCCGTCCCGTTCCTGCCTCTCAGAGTACAAGTGAATGGTGACCGAAAGCCGCTGCCACAATAGAGCCTTTGAAGACTTTTGCCACAGAACATGCCATTATTACAAGGACTAGTCAGACACAACACAAGTTGTTCTGGAAGAGTTTTCATAAGCATAAGCACCTCTGCGGTCCATATAAAAGTTATTCCCAAGAAACGGTTTTTTTAACATATTATATCCATCTATTTTCCAAACCACTTATCCTCACAACATTATATATTTAAAAAAAATTATAATAATGATTTTAGAATATAAAATAAACAACATTTGTTATAATATTTATTATTCATTTTAAATATTAAAAAAAAGAAAAATAACATACACTATTATATATTTAAATAAAATAATAATGATTTCTTAATATAAAATAAGCAATGTTTATTATCATTTTTACAAGTTTTAAATATATTTTATATACAATATTATATATTATAAAAATAAAAATAATATATAATTAATTATTTAAAGAATTTTATTATATTTTTATTTTATTATATATTTTATTATAATATGAAATTATATATTTTATTATATATTTGATATTTACAAATAACATAATATTTTATATTTAAAAAAATTTTAAAGTTAAAAATGTTTTATTATAATATAAAAATAATGTCATATTTATTTATTATGTACAATATTATATATTCAAAATGTTACAAATTATTTTATTATAATATAAAAAGTAGTAATATTGTTCTATTTATTTATTATAATTTTAAAAATAAAATGGTTTTATGATGTACAAATAAATAATGTTATAACTTTTTCATTATATATTCAAAATTATGTATTTTTAAAGATTGAAATTAAAAAATACTTTATTATAATATAAAAATAAATAATATTATTTATTTGTTTGTTTTGTGCTATTGAAAATTGCTACAGGTTTGAATGTTTCAGGGTAGAAGACCAATGCAAAAATGAGCTACATTATTTACATCCACTATTCTTGTGGTAAAACATGTTAAAACACCCATTTGTTTAGGACATTTCCTTTTTAAAAATAGGCTTTGTGTTGACGGTTGTGTGGAGTAAATCCCAGTTGGCCGGGCGATGAAACTGCAAGTGGAAAAAGCTCTTTTGCTCAGCTCGTCAAACAGAATCCTGGGCCGTTTCACAGGAACAG